TAACACAGGAAATCTGGGGACTGCGTAAGTGATCCTGTAGCCGGGTTTCGGTAGACAGTTTATATTTAGACCCTCACGGCATCCTGTTCCTCGTTATCAGATTTTCAGCTCAGTCTACTTGTAGTTTATTTTCTGGTCCCCGATTTGGAGACCTTGAGGGCTATTGAGGGACTCTAACAACAGCCAGTTAAAGAAAGTAGTATCTATACTCTTCACAGCACCCTTTTCCTTTTTACCAGAATTACAGCCCATATTCTCCTTTGAGTTTGTTTCCTGGACCCTGATTTGGGGACCCTGAGAACTGTTGAGAGATTCTGAGAACAAAGACCAGTTTCATAACAAAAGGCTTTTATCAAGCTGCCAATTAACTCCTCCCTCCCTGGCAAAAAGATTCCCTCCAAGGCTGTCCTTCCATTTGGCATCATTTTCTTCCAGATGACTAGGCTCTTGCTATAAAAGCTAACAAGGGTTTGATAGGGTATGAGAACATAGCATTAAACTTACTGTTGCTGATGGAAAGGGGGACTTGGAAAAACTGGATTGGCACTCACCAGCCACTTCGGATATCTTTCTCTTTTATTTGCAAACTGCAGACATATCATGGCAGAAAGACTGCCAGTGAAGACTGCCTGGGTTCAGGTCCTGTGGGATACAGCTTAGTGCTTGTGGCATCCTGGGAAAGTTCCTCAACCTTTCTGTGCCCCATCTTGTATCTTGCTCACTTATAAAGTGAAGAGAATAGGAGTTCTTATGTTGTCATCAGAATGTGAGGCTTTTAAGAGTTAATCTAATAAAGCATTTCTCATTGTCACTGCCCATAGCAGATTCTGTGCAATTAATATTAGTTATTACTCAAATTAATATTTATTAATTTTGTTTCTTGTATATTCCCCATGCTCTCCTAGAAATGTTCCAGTCCCCCCTCCCCTGGAACATCTGCCACTCTGCATCTTTAGATATGGAGCTGGTTTGCAAGTCAGTAGTAGGTGATATCCTCAGTTTTTTATGTTTTTTACTGCAAAAGGAAAGCTCAAGGCTGGGCGTGTAGATGGGAGCTGAGTACTTGCTTTCTAGCAGACAGTGTGAGTGCCGGAGGGACTTTGGAAGGTTTCCTATGGAAACCTGCAATCCAGTAGTTTTTCCCTTGACCTCTCTTTATATTAGTTTCCAACTATATGAAACAGGCACCAAAGCAATAATGAGATTGCTTAGGATCATATGAGATGATGGGAGTGAAGCTCTTAAGAGGCATGTGGTGAGCCTGTTGGTGTTTGTCATTTTCAACAGTGTAATGAAAAGAGTGAAAAAATACATTCCATTTTGATGTCTGTGCACCTTCGTTTGTAAAGTCTGGCTTTGCATATGCACAGTGGAGGGGTCATGGCCCAAATGCTCATCCACTTCTATCTCTATGGTGACAATAACTGGGAAACAATTGGACAGTGATGAGTAGACAGGAAGATATTCCTTTGTCTTCATGTATCAAAATTGGCTTTCCTTCTGATGTACTTTAGAAGGGGTAGTTACCTTACGGAGGAAAACAGCATATGAACACGGAGAGGCAAAATATCAGACACACCCATGTCGCTCACAGACTAATCTCTTTCAGGGAATATTTCTTATAAGTGAGCAGTTATTGATGATAAGAAGAGGGAATTGTCTTTGCCCGTATTGCTTAGAATCTGTAGGTGGATATGACAGTGATTGGCTTGTGGTGGGTTACTTCTAAAGAGCCCTTGACTTCCTGGAGTTGGTGAGCAGTAGGTGGAAAGTAGCTAAAGCATACAAAATCCAAAAATGCCAGAAACAGGAGACCCAGAGTAAGTGATCAACATTATGCTGTATGTGTATGTACTTGAACATATGTGTATGTGTGTCTGTGAAAACACAAGAATGTATACATATCATATTTATTTGTACACATTCGCATACATACGTTATGCATGCAATAGTGCCCCAGTGTCCTTAGAGCCCTGCTCCACAGACCCTCCAGTCCCTCATACACAGATGGTCAGTGTATCATCACTTTAAGACAGAAACAACTTAAGGGGAGAACTTATTTAGGTTCATTGGTTCGGGGACTTCACTGGGTACCTCTGGCCTCAGTTAATAGAGCATCCCGTTCTTCTAGAAGACCCGTTTGCTTCCCAGCCCCCACATGGGGCAGCTCACAACTGCCTACAACTCTAGCTCCAGGGGATCTGCTCCCTTCTTCTGGCCTCTGAGGGCACTGGTGTGCATGTGGCATACACTAACAGACAGATACACACACACACACACACACACATAATTTTTTAAAATTAAGTTGAGGGCTCCTGATAAAAAACACTTGAGGAGCCAGAGAGTTCAGCAGTTAAGAACATTGGCTGTTCTTGCAGAGGATCTGGGTTCAGTTCCCAGTACCCACATGGTAGCTAACAACCATCTATAACTCCAGTTCCAGGAGATCCAATGTCCTCCCTGTCCTCTATAGATATTGCATACATGTAGTACATTTTTATACATGAAGGCAAAATACATGTTTTATATGTATACATATAAAATAAAAATAAATGAGTAAAATACATAAAGATAAATAACACTTAAGATTGACTTCTGGCCTCCACGTACATGCATACTCACATGCGAGACTGAGAAAGTACAGAGAGGGCCAATGATGGCTCAAAGTAGGGCACTGGGTCACGTGGGGGTCCACAACAGCAAGAGAGGATTCAGAAGTAGGTGGGCCAGAGTTAACTCAGGGTAGAGTTCACAGGCCTGTGGGAATCCAAAACATATGGCAAAAGCAAAAAGAGGGGGGATTTGCTTACACATGGGGAGTGAATGTTATTGCAGACAGTAGCTGACTGAAAGGAGAATAGAGTTAGAGCTTCTGGGCCTATATACCAGCTGAACAGAAGCAAATGACACCTCCGCTCTATCACACAGTATTTGAACCTTGGAAAAACCAGCACTGATAGAAGAAAGTGACTTGAAAGAGAAGGAAGGGAGAATTAAAGAAGGAAGGAATGAAGGAAGGGAGGGAGGGAGGGTGGAAGGGAGGGGAAGGGAAGGAGGGAGGGAGAAAAGGAAGGAAGGAAGGGAAGGAAGGAGGGAGGGAGGGAGGGAGGGAAGAAGACTGGATTTTGAAGGTGATATTTGACAGTTTAAAAAAAATATTTCAAAGTGTAGTCTAGCATCTTTTCAGAAACTCCACGGAGTAGAATTTATGATCAATAGGTGTAGAAATAGGGTTGGCAGGAAGCAAACACTGTCTCGGGAGCCAGTGAATTTACTGCCTCTGGAAATGCTGCAAGAGATGCTGGGCAGTTGGAGAGGTGATTCCTCCTCCGTGCTGGATTTGGGGCTAGGCAGCTCCAAAAGTCCTTTCTAAATCTGAGCTCTCTCAACTGCTTTCTCCATACTGTTCACCCATCTACTGTTCATCATCACCTACATCCCTTTTTTCCATTTCCTTCTTCTCTACTGACCAGTTTTTTTTTTTAATGTTGCTGACTTACACTGTTTTAGGCTTTCAGTAAAATGGGTGGAAAGTATATGGGTCTGTCTGTCACTAACATCTCGAATTAGTGTGGGATGCTGATGGTCCCATGTTCATGCAGGGATGTTCTAGTAACAAAGCCCATAGTTTACCCTTCTAAATTGTTACATGTTCAGTAAGTTTTGACAGATGTATAATGTCTCCTGTCCTCCAGGGTCATTCTATCTTCCATTCTCACTTCTGCCCCCTCCCTCCCCTGACCCTCTGACAGCCACTTTACTGTCTTCATAGCTTTGTGTATTCCAGGATGTCGTAGAGTTGGGATCCTGCAGTCTGCAGCCTCTTCTGTCTGGATTCTTTCAGTTAGTGATACTCATTTAACATTCCTTCTCGTCTTTTGTGATCTTTTTGTGGCTTGATATTTATTTATTTCGTGACTGAAAAATGTGTGATTGTTTGGATGTACCATAGTTTGTATATCCATTTACTTATCAAAGGACTTCTTGGCTGCTTCCAAGTTTGGGCAATTATAAACAAAGCTGTTATAAACATCTGTGTTTGAGTTTTCTTCTGGGTGCTTACAAGAAGCACAGTTATTGGGTTACACAGTCAGGACTTTTAGTTTTATAAGAAACTGCTGTACTGTCTTCTAACTTGACCAACCATTTAGCATTCCCATTCACCCACAGTGAATTTTTCTGTTGCTCTACATCATTGTCAATATTTGGTATTGTCAATGTTTTTATTTTAGTCATTCTGATAGACATATGGTGAGCTTTCTTTCTCATATTTACATATTACCTCCAATTTATTATAAGAAGTATATTTAACACTCTTGTTAATATAACATAACACTAAGTAAAGGAAGACACTGGAAACAGCAGAATAAGTTCATATTAATGGTAATACTGTTAGTGATAACAGTATAAATTTGAGTGTACATCTTTTATTTTGAAACAAATACCACCAAGGAGCACAGGTTTCTGATTAACAAGTGTAAACAGTTGCACTCAAAAGCATAGAAAAGCATAGACAGCCGTTATATTATATAACCATTACCCCAAGAAGCACTCTGGCTTTTGAGCAGTTGCTACAGAGTCTGTTTCTAAATTTTGTATATTTAATGTGTACAACTTAATGATTTGTTGTACATATGTACTGTGAAATAACCACAATCCAGATTATTATTTTATCTGTAATTCTAGCATTGCCTTCTTTGTGTGTGTGGTTAGAGCACAGAAGAGCTACCTTTTTAGTAAAGTCCAGTACAGATATAGTTTTAGTATCATATTCATGTTGCTATACATTGGAGCCACACAAATTACATGACTGGAATCTCATACACTTCGCCCAACCTCTGCCCATTGCCCTTCTTCTGGCCCCTGGTAGCAGGCCTTCTACTTCGTGCTTCAGTGAGTTGGGCTATTTTAGGTTCCCCACATAGCTGAGCTCCTACAGATTTGTCTGTTTGTTAGACACACTAATTCTGGATTAAGATTTTCTGGTGTCTCTGTTTCAGGTCTTTCAAGTTGCATATGTGATCATTAAAGCCGCCAATGCCCCTCGGCCTGGAAACTGGATTCTTGAGCGCTCTGTGGATGGCATCAAGTTCAAACCTTGGCAGTATTACGCAGTCAGCGACACAGAGTGTTTGACACGCTACAAAATAACTCCAAGACGGGGGCCGCCCACTTACAGAGCTGACAACGAAGTGATCTGCACCTCATATTATTCCAGACTGGTGCCACTTGAGCATGGAGAGGTACTGTGCCCACCGCAGTGATGGGTTTTTGTGAGCAGAGACCCCTGGGTCAAATATTCTGATAGCCGTGAGGAGCCAGTGTTGAACACTCAAAATCAATCACTTTCAATGTAAAGTTATGCCACACAGCTACCCACTATCTAAAGTAGCCTTGACTAGTGCCTGTTAGGATTAATTTCACCACAGACAGATTTATCTTGTTGATTTCTTCCCTTTATGGACTTCCCTCAGTGTTCACCTGTGACTGAGCTCAATCAGTCCCTCCCCTGAGGCATCTTTCCATAACTCCAGGAGAAGAACATTTGTTGTATTTAAAGAAAAGCCAGACACGATGGCATGTATCTGTAATTCTTGGACTCAGAAGGCTGAGGCAGGAGGATCATGACTTCAAGGGCATTATGTAGCAAGACTTTGTCTCTCATAACAATAATGATAATACGAAGAAAAATTAAAAAGAGAGTGCTATGGGCTGGAGAGATGGCTCAGCAAGTAAGAGAGCTGGCTGTTCTTACAGAGGACCCCTGTTTGGGTCTCACCACCCACATGGCAACTAACAACTGTCCATAACTCCAGTTCCAGGAATCCAGTGTCATCTTCTGGCCTCTGCAGGCATTACATGATATAGGTGTACTTTTACATACATGCAGGCAAAACACTGATACATATAAAATAAAATAAATTTTAAAAGTTGGAGCGCTGAAGTACTTCTTAAAGATACAGTTCCAAATTTTCCCTCTGTAGTCCTCCCTCCCTTTGAAGAGCGTCGAAGACAGAGATGTGCATGAAGGATGACAGCTCAATGCTTAGCGTACACTTCAGAAAACTCAGCGTGAAAAGAAAACTGCCCGTTCTTAGCACCTGGCTTGATGAGTGAACACTACAAAAACTCCAGTGTTCTCCGTGGAAGGAGCTCAGCAGAAGGTGGTTACAGAGCAGAGAGAAATCAAGGCATCTTTTTCTCACACTCCAGCCTGTTCATGGCATCAAGTCTTTGCTTCTGAGAAGGCACAGCCTAATGCTGGATATTTAAAATATCCCCACAAGGCTGGGAGAAGTGCCCTTTTCAAAGATTTCCAGCAATCTCTGAGATAGGGAGTGGGTCACCTACAAATTGAAGACAGAGTAAGGGTCAAAGTTATCCATAAGTAGTCAGCATGTTAGATTTTTTTTACAAGTACCTAGTTGCCTGGTTTAATTTAAAAAGTATCTTTGTAAAGATTATGTCCCAGATTTAATCAAAACTATATATTTTCATACTTGTATTTGAAATGTATGTTTGGCTATCTTCAGATTCATACATCACTCATCAATGGCAGACCAAGTGCTGATGATCCCTCGCCCAAGTTACTGGAATTCACCTCTGCGCGGTACATCCGCCTTCGCCTACAGCGCATTAGAACACTGAATGCAGACCTTATGACCCTTAGCCATCTGGACCCCAAAGACCTTGATCCCATCGTCACAAGACGTGTGAGTATACGACAGCTTCTGTGACTGTTGTGTCTTGTTTCAGGGATGTACTCTTTTCTTTGTTCCTTTTGGACAGCCCTTTTCCTTCTTAGCTATTAAATACATCCTTATTTTTTGAGAGATACGTATATAATCATTTTATGTATGTCTATAGTTTTTTCTTTTTTTTTTGGACAGGGTCTCCCTAGTCCCAGCCTGCCTAGAACTCATTATGTAGACTAGGTTGACCTCAGTCTCACAGAGATCCGCCTGCCTCTGCCTCTCAAAGGACTGGGATTAAAGGTGTGTGCCATCATGCTGGCATATAGTTTCTTCGTTTACTTTTCTAGCTCTAACTTTTGATGAACAGAGCTCTCAGTTTTTATGAAATCCATCTTACCATTTTTTTGTTCATGGTTAATTGTTTCTATACCCTCTCAAATAATGTTGCTTATCCCAAGTTTTAAAAGGTATTCATTTATGCTTTTTTCTAGAATCTTCATAATTATATCTATAATCCATCTCAAATTAATTTTTGTGTTCGGTGTGAATTTGGACTCAAGTTACACCCCTTCTTATAGCTATATATGGTATTTTAAATCGTGTGTCAAAATACTTTTCTTCCATGAAGTCATTTTGATGCCCCTGTTGAAAACTGTTTGACTTTATTACTGTGTGTCCGTTTCTGGAGTCCAATTTTCCCCTTGATCTATTAGTACATCCTTGTGCCAATTAACAAATGTTTCATTATTTAGTCATTATAGAAAGTATCATGGTCAGTTAATTATGACCCAAACCAGTTGGGCTCTTGATGATTCCTTGTACCTTCTTTTTGTAAAACAATATTTTAGTTTTAATTTTAATTTTTGTGGCTGGGTAAATGTGTTCTCTCTCTCCTCTCCTCTCTTCTCCTCTCCTCTCTCCTCTCTGTCTGTCTCTCTCTCTCTGTATCTCTCTCTGTGTCTCTCTCTGTCTCTCTCTGTGTATCTCTCTCTGTCTCTCTGTCTCTGTCTCTCTCTCTCTGTCTCTCTCTGTCTCTCTCTCTCTGTCTCTCTCTCTCTCTCTCTCATAGATACCCTCAGAGTCCAGAAGAGGGACTTGGACCCCCTTGAGCTGGGGTTACAAGCAGCTGTAAGTTGTCCTACATGGGCGTTGGGACCTGAGCTCTTCTGGAAGAGCAGGAAGTATTCTTAACTTCTACTCTCCCGTATAATTTTTTTTTGTACAATATTAGAATCTGAGCCGAGTGTGGTAGCCAAATGCCCTTAATCTCAGCTGCTATGTGGGTGCCGGGACTTGAACCTGGGTCCACTGCAAGAGCAGTCAGTACTCTTAACTGCTGAGCCATCTCTCCAGCCCTATCATTCATTCTATACTGTGATATGTTCACTTTACCAGTATTAGAAAGTTCAACAGCATGGATTTTGAAGATGACTGTTTTAAGATGAAGCTGAGTTGGAAAACTCTTTCAGACTCTTTTAGGTTGATGAGCTACTTTGAGCACCATTGATTTTAATTGAGCACCAAGGTTCTTTGTGTATGAAATATAATTTTTAAATGTTCATGTAATTAATTTTAGATGATCAAAAATAGCTCATGAAATTACCTGAGATATTTGTTGAGCACCAACATTTACTTTGCTCTGAATTAAAGAGGTTTTAATTTCTGTTTGTAACACTCTTTTCCATAGTACTACTATTCAATAAAAGACATTTCTATTGGCGGGATGTGTATCTGTTATGGCCATGCTAGCAGCTGCCCGTGGGATGAAACTACAAAGGTGAGTTCTAGTAGGTATTAATGGAGAAGTTGCAGGTGTAACATTTCATATCTTTATTCAAGGCAAGCAGTAAAAGGCTTCAAATCATACTAAAGTTTTTAAAATTCCAATAATTTAATTGATTCCATTTTCTTAGCAGTGTCATTATTTTGCTTTGATTGGAGGATATGTTTCTAATTAATTCCTCACTCTGTTATCTGGTGTAAGATATCATGATGTAAAATTGACCATATTAAGGTTTACAATTTAGAGGCCTTCCATGTTCTTATAAGAGAGTCATTATTTATATTTAATTTTTGCACTGCTTGGGATTGAACCCAGGGCCTTGTGCATGCTAGGCAAGCACTCTACCATGGAGACACACCCGCAGCACTTCATGTATTTTTTTTTACTATTTTTTTAACATTTATTTATTTATTCTGTGTGGGTCTGTGTGTGCCTAGTGTGCCTTGGGCCATGGTATGCCCAGGGAAATCAGAGGACAACTTGTGGGAGCCAGTTCAGTATTCCCACAGTGGGGTCCTGGGGATCAACCTCAGGTCATCAGGCTTGGCAATAAGCACTTTTACCTGCTAAGCTATTTCTCCCCTCCCATCATTCAGTTTCTGATACTGAACTATATATTAATGAAATTGGGAAAATGTCTTAAATAATTGATAAAATCTTAATAAGCATTTCTAAATATTTTATTGATTATTATTTCTATTTTATGTGTATGAGTGTATTGACTATTGACTGCATGTATGTGAGTACACCCATGTCATGCAATGCCGTGGAGATCAGAAGAGGGCTTTGGATTCCCCTGGAACTGGAGTTAAGGACAGTTCGTAGCCGTCATGTGGATGTTAGGAATCAAACCCAAGTCCTCTGCAAGAGCAGTCAGTGCTCTTAACTGCTGAGCCATCTCTCCAGCCCCATAAGCACTTCTAATTCTTAATGTCACTTCATCTTTTTAAGAACATTTTGTTAGCTAGTCACCCATATTTTAGTTTTGTTGCTATAATCAGGTTGTGCATACATAGTCTTCTCCACAGGTTAATGCCAGTTTGTTTGCTATAGTCATGAATCCTCAACTATGTGGTCTTAACATGTAAGACTGTGGTAGCTTCTTTCCTTAAATAAGATTAAGAGAAATATACATTTACTGTTTTGTATCCCTGTTTGTTTAGCAACTACAATGTCAGTGTGAGCATCATACATGTGGAAAGAGCTGTGACAGATGTTGTCCTGGCTATCATCAACAGCCCTGGAGACCTGGAACCATTTCTTCTGGTAACATGTGCGAGGGTAAGTACACTCAAAATTTAAAGAATAAAGGCTTTCCTGTCTCCTCGTATGATTAACATATGGCATCTTAATAATCTTTGAAATGACAAGACTTGTTTCTTAGCAATTCAAACGGTATCCAAAGTTACAGATCACCTTAATGAAGTTTAAAGGTATTGTTATGTATCCGCTAAGTTTCCTTTCCCATTTGTTTGTTAATTAGTTGCTAATTTGGAGTTTTAGTTAATCAATTAATTAATGGTACTGGGAATTGAACCTAGAAGACCTCCCCTAGCTAGGTGAGCACTGCACTACTGAGCTACATCCCCAGCTAAAGTTATTTTTTAGATATGTAATATATGTGTAAAATTTCAATAGGAACAATATACAGAGTAAAAATAATTACTGGGGTGGGCGAGATGGCTTGGTGAGTAAAGGCATTTGCCATGAAGCCTAACAACCTGAGATCAGTCTCTGGGACCCACATGGTGGAAGCAGGGAACCGACTCCCATCCATTGTCCTTGGATCTCCATACGCACACAGTGACATGCATGTGCCTCCCCCCCAAACACATACACACAAAGTAAAAAAACATTTGATTAAAATTTTAAAAGCATTATTTCACTTCAACTCCATCCTTCCTGCTTTTTATTTCCTAGCAGTTCTAAGAGTTTGTGCAAAGAGATCATCTAGTAACATATTCCAGCTTTCAATATATTTCGGACACAGAAAAATGTTGCAAATCACAAACTTCTACAGAATTGCTTTTTATTCTTGATTTTAGTCCTGGGGCCACACATTTGCTCAAGAACTCTGCTACTGAGCTACACTCAAGCCTCATGTATTACATTTTTTAATAAACAGGGTCTCACTGTGTAGCTCAGGCTAGCATCAAACTCTCTGTCTTCCTGCTTCCCCAGTGCTGAGATTACAGCTGTGCATCACTGTTTCCACCCTGCACAGTTATTATTTTGACAGCTATTCTCACTTGTCCTCTGGGATTTTGGTCTTTGTCCCACTGAATTATTTATTCTAGAATTTTACATTGTAGAAATTAACTTCATAAATAAGAGTGTTCTTTATATAGGGTATATTATGTGTGTTAATTGAGATGTTAAAATATTCTCCTAGAATGTAATTGTCACAATAAAGCCAAAGATTGTTACTATGACGAAAATGTTGCGAATCAGAAGAGAAGCCTAAACATTGCTGGACAGTACAGTGGAGGAGGGGTTTGTATCAACTGCCTGCAGAACACCACGGGGATCAACTGTGAAACCTGTATCGATGAATACTACAGACCCCACAAAGTGAGTCTCTTCCTTCCAACAGCAGAGCTCCACTGCCCTCCAAGGTGGAAAACAGACCACCAAGTCTCAACTCTATACTGAAGACTCGTTTCCTTTTATTAGGCTTTATTAAATTCTTGTGGTGCCAGTTGTCTTTAGATTTCTGTTACCTACATTGCCTTGCTCTTTTGCTCAAAGTAGGATATGCATGCATTGTTATTTAACTTAAATTTGGGATCCTGTAAGCTAGATAATTCTAACTGTAGATGTGTGGATTTAACCAATAATAATAGTCTATTCTCCATTGATGTGATATGTAGGTGTTTCCTGATCATCATGGCTGGTGTATAGGGAAGGCTCAGTGATTGCACTGATAGACTGTAGAGAAGAAAGGAGCAGTGGCCGAGAGAAAGGATGGCATCTGCTCATGATACTGACTCTTGTTACCATCACAAAGATGTCAGGGCTGGAGAGACGGCTCAGTGATTAAAAGCACTGGCTGCTCTTGCAGAGGACCTGGGTTCAGTTCCCAGCACCCACATGGCAGCTTACAACCATCTGTCACTCTAGTTCCAGGGAATCTGATACCCTTTTTTGATGTTTATTGGCATTGCACATATCTGGTACATTTACATACATGCAGGCAAACATTCATATACATAAAATAAAAATGAATAGCACTGGGCATGGTGGCACATGCCTTTAATCCCAACACCCTTGGGAGGCAGAGGTAGAAGGACCTCCATGAGATCAAGGCCAGCCTGATCTACTTAAATGAATTCTAGGCCAGCTGGGGCTATAGGAAGACCCTATCTCAAAAACATTTTTTTTTTTAAAGAGATTAAGGCTTGAGAGATGGCTCAGCAGTTAAGAGCACTTACTGCTTTTGTAGAGGACCGGAGGAGTTCAGTGCCCAGTACCCACATGGCAACTAACAATTATCTGTAACTCTAGCTCCAGGGGATCCAACACCTTTTTCTGGCTTCCGTGAGCATTGTGACAGAGGTGCACTTACACACTTGCAGGTTAAACGCTAATATGCATAAAATCTTTAAAAAGATGTTAGGAATGAGCAAGATGGCTCACTGGGTGAAACACTTGCTGCCAAGCCTGATCACCTTAGTTAGATTCCCAGGACTCACATGATGGAAATGACTGACTCCTCAGGTTGTCCTCTGAATGCTATGGGTGCATGTGAGGGCACATATACCCCATCCCACATTCACTCAATCAAGCAATATAATTTTTAAAAATTTAAATATTTGGAACCTTCCACTTATGACCATTTTACTCTCCTGACACTTAAACCACCTGTTAGACAAAAATCACTGTAGTAGCCTCATCTTGAGTAAGAAGCTCTTACAGTTGGTTGACAGGATGCTGTTATTTCTAGTGAGATCATCCAGGACAACTTCTGCCTTTCAGGTATCTCCCTATGAGGATGAGCCTTGCCGTCCCTGTGACTGTGACCCCGTGGGGTCCCTCAATTCTGTGTGTATCAAGGATGATCTCCATTCTGACTTACACAGTGGTGAGTCCTTGGCTCATTATTGTGTTTGCAGTGATGTGGGGGTATGTGCGGAATGCTTGTTCCGATAGAAGTATTGTCCATGTGTAGATGTTTAGGGATTTAATCCTGTGTTGATTCTTTTGTTCACCAAATTTGAATTGAGTACCTGCTACATGTCAAGGAGTTTTCTAGAACCTAAGGTTTGTATATGAACATGATCAAGGTCTCTGCTCAGAGTCAGCACTAAACAAGGCCACAAGTAATTCAGTGCCAGGTAGGCATGGTGCTGTGGGCATAAAGCAAATTTAGTAATCATGATTTGGAGAGAGACGGGGTGTCGAGGTGACTGTGTTGGGGTGATGAAGTGGCATTTGAATTTGAGTACATGATTGAGCATTTGATGCAAGAAGTAAGGCTCACTTTGTAACATACAGTAAATAGCAGTTGCTTTTTCAGGTATTAGAAGACAGTTCGGGGCTTCTGCATACATCAGCTCACAAAGCAGAGAGATCCTCCAGCTAACTTTGTAAATGACAGTGCTCTTTCCCTTCCCCAAATGGACTTGCTTATACCACAGCTCCTTACTAGGTAGCATCTGTTCACGACCTCAGTGACTCAGCAGATTCTCAGCCATGGGCAGGAGTGGATATGGGATTGGGGGGCTCCCTGTCGCTGTGGAGGGTCAGTTGCACAACTGAACTGATTCTTCCATGTGGCTGCTGATGGGATGATAGTAATGATGATGGGGGTGGGGTGGCAGTTTACCCTTGCTTTAAGCCTCTGAACTTCATGTTGGATCGTCGTCGTTTTCTTCCCCAGGGAAGTGGCCAGGTCAGTGTCCATGTAAGGAAGGCTATGCAGGTGAAAAATGTGATCGTTGCCAATTTGGCTATCGGGGTTACCCGAACTGCGTCCCCTGTGACTGCAACACTGTTGGCAGCATAAATGACGATCCTTGTACCGAGCCATGTCTTTGTAAGGTGAGTGTACAAGTCAAAGATGCTCCGGGTTTCTTCTGCGGTCCTCCCTTCTGGCTCAGAAGATCAATTCTTGCACAAAACAGGAAGGTTTGAGCAACAACCTTCCTGCATGTCACAGCAAGTGTGTGTCCTTGAACTTAGATGGGCTCTTGACTTTCTTTTGTGGTACCTCTGGGTAACGGCCATATATTCCTGAGGCATTTTCTGAGACTCTTCAATGAGACCCAACAGCGCATACCGTTCCTTTGGCCTTAGCTTCGTTACCTGTGGCATTCCTTTTCAGCTTTGTGTTCGGGGGAGAACTAGGTAAATACTGAATTTCCTGGAACACTAGAGAAATGCATATTTGTTATCTTAGATTTCTCTTAGAATTGTATAATCACAGGAATGCACAGACGTGGCACCAGGGGAGGGTCTTATTTGGTCATATGATATTAATTACAATTTCCCTGGAATTCCTGAGATTTCCTGTTGTACCTTATGTGCTTATTCATGAAAGCAGAGTCTCAGGCATGTTATATTTGACTGAAAATAATCTCAAGTATTTGTAATTAAAACAAATAATTATATATCCCTCTTTAGATTGTAAAATGTTTGTATAAGCAAAGCACGGTGGTGTATGCCTGTAATTCTTGCTCTCAGGACTCTGAGAGCACCTATTCTGTAAATACTAACTAATGTCTTGAGGCCTTGCACCTGTTTGAGGTCTTTACGAGTTTCTGAGGACTACCACCTTCTGTAGATTGTTCCCTGTTACCGTGCCTTTTTTTCTGTCTCTCTGGACACATTAGTTTTACCAGCTAATCTTTTCTTATAACTTGCAGAAAAATGTTGAGGGGGAAAACTGTGATCGCTGCAAGCCAGGGTTCTATAACTTGAAGGAAAGAAACCCCCAAGGCTGCTCTGAGTGCTTCTGCTTTGGCGTCTCTGACGTCTGTGACAGCCTTTCGTGGCCCATTGGTCAGGTAAGAGACACTGTGCCAGTTGGTTAATAAGCAGATTGCCTGATGGGGCCCTCTGTGGCTGGGCTATGGGACCAGATGGCCAGCTGTCCCCGAAACACCACTCTTAACCATTTGGAACAGCCCTAGCATGAATCCAAGGGAATCTATTCCTAAAATTATTCTGATATTTTCTATCTAATTTGTGTTTGTTTCCACTTATGTTTGAAACAATGGGATGGTATGGTGTTCTGGAATACATTCCATTTCCATTTCTCCTGTGGAGCACACTTGGGGTCTTGAGAATTGTTCATCTCAAAGAAGCAGGTGGTGGGAGGCGCTGGAGTGGGAAGAACAGAGGGGCACAGATTAGTGTGAGGACAGGCAGGCTTGGGGGAATGGGGAGCTCTGGGCAATGGGCTTGGGGGTACAAAATAGAAACCAGGGGAGGAGATCATGAGTGATGGCTGGAGGTGAGGTAGTAGATACTGTGTTCAAGGCATAGCTGTCGGTGACTCTTGTCACCACACTGGGTGAACATCATCATTTCCCGGTAGGTGACACACGTGGCAATGCAGGGTCTGAGGTTTTTGTACATTTTTCATCATTTGAGTATAAAGCAAGAACAACCAAGAAGGGGCAGTAAAAATGGTGAACTCATTTTAGTCAACACACTTACAGCCTAGGTGCCTCTTACCTGAGCTGCCAGGGAACAGAAACATTTTGGATTTTGCTTGTTTCCAATTTGGGGTATATTTGCATATATCTACATGAACTATCTCAAGGGAAGGTCAAGTCTAACCATGAAATTTGTTTACCTTTCATATATACCTTGTCCATGTAGCCTGAAGATGACTTCATATAGTATTTTAGTGCACCGTCCTAGGGCTCATAGGAGGTCAGGTGGGAAGTTTTCCACGTGTGACTCCAGTTGTTTGGGATTCGCAACATTTTTGCCTTAGGGGTATTGAACTTGAAGCAGGTTCCTTATTATTTTTAAAAATCTAAACTATACAGCCTCTATCTCTGTAGTTTTGTGTAGAATTGATCTGGATTCAATATGTGCATGCCATGTACTCAGCATTTCTTGGTTTTTTGACAAGTGGAAAGATCCTGTATTGTATACTTAAACTTGATCCTTAGTTAAACTTAGTCCATCTGCTTCCTTATTGCAAAAATATTTGCTCAGCACTGTATGAAGTCTAAGGTGACCTCTGTTTCATATTCTGAAATTCTTCATTTTTTTTTTTAAGGTGACTGATATGTCGGGGTGGCTGGTTACTGACTTAATCAGCCCAAATAAGATTGGGTCTCAGCAGGGTGTGCTGGGCGGACGTCATCAGATTAGCATCAACAACACGGTGGCCATGCAGAGACTGGCTTCTAAGTACTACTGGGCAGCTCCCGAAGCCTACCTTGGAAACAAGGTATGTGTGACTGGATGGAACAACGTCTAGAAGGAAAGCTCAGAGAACATTAAGAACTTCTACTGCTCACTCTCTAAGCAGACTTACTGTCCACCCGACTTCAGCTGGAGTTGACAGCAGGACTCGTTTGACGTTTTATCATGGCCATTTCATAAACTTCTGTTCTGCACCCACTTCCTAAGCAGTGTATGTTGTGAGGCCTCAAATCCCTCACCATCACTGGCTTTCTCCTTCCCTCTTCTGGTCTCTAGATAACTTGGGCCTTTATAATGTGATAGTTGCTCTTCCACGTTAGCTAGCGGTCAACTTAGTGAAGTGGTCCGTGGCACAGTGGAGCCCCTGGTATGTGGAAAGCCCCAGGAAGGTTCCTGAGAGGGAGTGTCTGCTCTGCTGTCCTGTCTCTTCACCAGGACAAGGTGTTGCCATATGATGCTGACAGATGGGCAGAATAATGTCTGTTTTAATTTTAAGAAAATGCAAGGTAATGATCTACAGTGCTGAGTGTCTGCAAAGTTGGTTTCTAAGATTGAACCTTCCTGTCAAAGGTGTTCCATTCCCCTCACCAATTAATGCCTCTTCTCTCCAGAGTCTAATTAATTGGCAGATGCAGCCAGGGGACTAATAACTCCAGCTCTGGTCTCACTGGGAGTGTGGTTTGTTTTCAGGTGATGGTATACCTTCACAATAATTTAATCTTGTAGTTTGGTATGCTTCCAGTTAATCCTATTATTATATTTTCTAATTTGCATATATATTCACATGTGTATGAATATATATCTGTGTATGTGTATATATGCATATATATTTATCTATGTACTTATTTTTGAGATAGGTTCTTGCTATGTTGCCCAGGCTGGTCTAGAATTCACAATCCCTGCCCCAACCTCCTTAATGCTAGGATTACAAGTATGCACTTAACTTGTATATATTTTAAAAGAATATTTATTTTTGGAAATAGCTATCAAATTATTTTTCTACCAAATTATAATTATAATGCTCTATTTATAATATTATCTTGCCAACAAAGTTCAATGATTTTTTTCTTTTTGAAATCATTTGTCTAATTTTATGATTGTAAACTTACATTCTGAAAAGTGTATTTCAGCATATTCCTCAAGAAGAAAATCTACATTATATATTAGTTACCCCTAATATACATTAAAGGGCACCCCAATCATATATTTAAAAGAAGAAATGCTTTAGTGCTTCCTTTAAATGATAGAACTAATAAGCTGGACAATGAAATCAAAACATTCATTTAAGTAAGATAATGTGTGATTAAGACCAATTCATAGAGCTGGCGAGTGTCTTACTGGGTAAAGATACTAGCTGTCAAGCCTAATGATCTGAGTTTGATCCCTGCTCCCTACATGATGGAAGGAGAGAGCTGACTCCAGCAAGTTGTCCTCTGACCTTCACACAAGCACTGTGGAAGACCCCTTTATAGACAAATGAATAAATATGTGTAATAGAAAATTTAAATGGCTTGTAGTCAGTTACTTTGGGTCTTTGAAAAGGAATACACATTTCTGTGTGTGAAGGCTATCCTACATTTTGGAAATGTCTCTTAAACAGTATCTAACAGGCTTTCCACTGCTTTTGGTGTAAATTCCCTTTCTTATGGTGGCTGCTGGGGTGGGTAGCCTGGCTGTTTCAGGAGGACCCTAGCAACCCCTCCCCCAGACTTAAAGCTATGACTATTGTCCGCTGATGCTCATTCTTGTTAATCATTCCAGCTGACAGCGTTTGGTGGGCTCCTGAAATACACAGTGTCTTACGACCTTCCAGTGGAGACAGTGGACAGTGACCTCGTGTCTCACACCGATGTCATCATCAAGGTGACTCATTTGCACTGGTTTGCTGTAGAGCTCAGGGCTCAGTGGATGGGGGTGGGGGGGTCTGTGAATGAGTATAAGTGATAAACAAGGTGCTTACAGCAAGGAGATGGTAACTGAGGAGATTCACTTGTGCCTGTACTGAAGGACAAGGGACTGAGAAGGTAAATTTGATAACATCCATTTTATGAAAAGTTGCAGGTATACCTTCTGTCCATAGTTTTTCAAGTTTGGTTCTTTAGTTAAGATTAGGAGTATGACTGTCAGCTAGATGGATCAATAGTAGGTAAAGATGCTTAGTGTTAAGCCTGAGGACCTATTTCATCCCTGGAACACATGTAGTGAAAGGAGAGAACCAACCCTCACAGGTTGTCTTTTGACCGCTACCTGTGTGTACACACACACACACACTTAATAAGCAAAAAAAAAAAAAAAAAAAAAAAAAAAGGGGTTTTGGGGTGTCTTTTCTTTTTTTTTCCCCCAAAACCGAGATGAGATAACTAAGCAAATAAACATGGCATTTAACAACCCCACTCTGGTTCAGACTTTCTATTTATTTCAGAAAACACCAACAATTAGCTGGGTGCAAGAGAACATGCCTGTAGTCCTGAACTACTGGACAAGCTGAGGCAAAAGCATTGCTTGAGTTCAGAAATTCAAAGTGAAATCTGGGAAATACAGCAAGACTATCTCTGAAAGTGGTGGCACATGCCTACCATCACAGTACTTGGGATATGGAAGCAGAAGGGTAGAGTGAGCTAAATAATGAGACCCTCTCAGAAAAAAAAAAAAAAAAAAAAAAAAAAAAAAAAAAGTAATGGGTTTTGGGTAGCTTTACTTCTTTTCCAAGACCCCAGCAAAGTATACTCTTTGGATTTATTATCAGAATTTCTGTGAAAAGAATATAGTCAGACTGGGGAGATGGTTCAATGGGTAAAAGCATTTGCTGCCTGAGCATGAGAACCTGAGTTCAAATCCCTAATGGCCATGTAAAAAACTGGTGTGGCCTCATCTGTCTCTACCCAAGTCCTGTAGGGGCCAGAGACAGGAAGTTCTCTGGGACTTAGTGGCCATCAGTCTAGCTCCAGTGAGGGACCTCATCACAAAGGATACAGGACACCCAGCATCCTCCCCTGGCTTCTGTATGTTGCCCATGCACCTACACACACGCGTGGGTATATGGCCAAACATGCATACACCACCAACACACACATACACACACACACACACACACACACACACACACGCTAAAAAAGAAAGAATACCATATCTGTTCTTTCTGTTGTAAGTCTGGATTGAGAGCCATACACAATTACATATTTGCTGCAAGAAACTGGGCACAAGTAAACCACGTTGCTGAACACAGAACTTGATTTTAATTTTTGATCACTGAATTAAATTACAAGTTTCCTTCCTTTTGGTTTTAAATGCTAGGGAAATGGACTCACTTTAAGCACACAGGCCGAGGGGCTGTCCTTGCAACCCTATGAGGAATACGTCAATGTAGTTAGACTTGTGCCTGAGAACTTCCGGGACTTTAATACCAGAAGGGAGATTGACCGCGACCAGCTGATGACGGTGCTTGCTAACGTGACACATCTCTTAATCAGAGCCAACTACAATTCTGCAAAAATGGCTCTCTATAGGTAGGTGCTGAAAAGGGTGGGAAAAACTTTTGGCAAAGGTACCTCGATCTTGTCTGCATTATTATGTATATTTCAAGCTTAATATTATTATAATAAGGACACAACTACAGAAACTAGCTATATTAACATTACTTTTATAAATATATTTTATTGAAGATGTGCATCATGAGAAAAGAATCCAGTAGGAAACAGACTTGACTTTAGGTTCAGGAACTTTCAAGAATGTTGCCAAGCGATGCTTGCTGAGTCAACAGTGCCCATATTGCATCTGAATCAATCAATCAATCAATCAATCAATCAATCTCTCCCCTCTCTGTCCTCTTTCCCCCCACTCTCTTTTTCTCCCTCTTTCCCTTGCTCCCTGTCCTTTCTCCTATATCTCCCTTCTCCCTCTCTCTCCTCTCCCCTCCCTTCCCTCCCTCTCCCCCTCTCTCCTTTCTCCCTCCCTCTGTTTTTCCCTCTCTCCCTCTTTCCCTTTCTCTCTCCCTGTCCTCTCTCTTCTCTCTCCTATCTATCTCTCTTCTCCCTCTCTCCTCTGTCCCTCCCTCTCCTTGTCTCCCCCTCTCCTCTCTTCTCTTTATCTTCTCTCTCCTCTCTCCTCTATCTCACCCCCTCACTCCCCCCTCCTCTCCTATTGTTCTCCTCTCCCCCTTCTCTCTCCACCCTCTCTCTCTCTCTCTCCTCTCTCTCTCTCTCTCTCTCTCTCTCTCTCTCTCTCTCTCTCCATTCTTCCTGATGCTAATGGCCTTAATTTTGCAGTTATTTAAACAAACTCGTCCATCCATGGTCATTTGGTTACCTGGAGGAGACCAATTTCTGACAGTATCTAGCAATCATAAAATTGGTTGCTGCTAAAGTAAGCAGGTAGAACACATGGAAGGATCAGCTCTGTATTCATGATAAGGGGGATAAGGGGATGGAATGGATGGACTTCTGTGAAACACTTCAACTCCAGGTAGACACCTTCAAAACTTGCCCACAGCAGCCTCTGGGCAGTAGCACAGCTTGTCAACAACTGTTGAAGCATCTCCTGGGACTAATGATGGCTGCCAGAGTGTTCTGGTGGGAAACTCCCTAGGTACTCACAAAAATAACATGTCCATTTTCTTTAAACTACGTCTTTGGGAGCCTGCCTGCCTTCTTAGAGGTATGAGATGCCATGTGCAATCATATGAGCCACATCATGATCTCTGTCTGTTTGCAGGTTGGACTCCATCTCTCTGGATATAGCAAGCCCTAATGCGATAGACCTGACAGTAGCTGCCGACGTGGAACACTGTGAATGTCCCCAAGGCTACACAGGGACATCCTGTGAGGTACTGCGCCCCTGTGCTGGTCTCTTCCCTTCTGTTCTTTCCTGATGGATGATGCACTGAACTCCTCTTGTTGCACATTTGCATTTTAACTTTAGAAAACTCCTGTGGTTTAGTCATTCTTGAATTATAAGAACACATAGTGCCCTGCAGAGGACCTGAGTTCAGTTCCTAGAACCCACATCAATCAGCCCACAACCACTTGCAGCTTCAGGTCCAGGGGATCCCTCACCTCTGGTCCTTGAGGGAACCTGTGCTCATATGTACACACGCCCCCATATACATATAATTAAAAATAATGAAAACAAATCTTTTCAAAATAAAAGCCACAAGCGGTGGGTGGTACATGCCTTTAATCTCAGCATTTGGGAAGCAGAGGCCGGCGGATCTCTGTGAGATTGAGGCCAGCCTGGTCTCCATAGTGAGTTTGAGGCGTGCTGTTGCTACAGGGAGACCCTGTCTCAAAAAGACCCCCCAAAAAATAATTAATTAAAAATAGGGTTGACTGGGGTGCTTCAAAAGTTCCTGGAGGGTTTGTTGTTGTTGTTGTTGTTGTTTGTTTGTTTTTTGCCTCAGTCAGTAGGAAACTTGCAATGCCTTTGCCAGATTTTGCATTTCCAAGGAGGATTGGACTTGATCATCTGAACATTTACTGCCTGTGCCAGACCAGGATAACCTTACATAAACCATGACCATCTCGAGACCTCTGTATCCCCTGACTAGAGTGTTGTAGTAGGCTGGACCTCACATGGAAATACAGGTTCTATATCCACAGATTGACTAGTGACTGAATAGTTCCCAGATGACAACATTGAATCAAATATATCTATACCTATTATTATTGCTCCCTAAACAATATGGTGTGGCAATTATTTACATAGCATGCATATTTATTAGATATTATAAGTAATCTAGAGATTATTTACTTATTTTTTTTGTTTGTTTTTGATACAGAGTCTCCCTGTTGCCCCAGCCAGCTTAGAATTCACTATGCAGACCAGGCTGGCCTGGATCTCACAGAAATCTGTCTGCCTCTGCCTCCCAAATGCTAAGATTAAAGGCATGCAACACCAGTCCTGGCAATTAGAGATTATTTAAAATATAGGGAGGATCTGCATAGGTTATATACAAATATAGCACTGTTTCATATAAGTGACTTGAATATTCAAGGATTTTGACATCCATTGAAGTCCTTGAACCAATCCTCATGGAGATGAGGGAAATGTGTGTGTGTGTGTGTGTGTGTGTGTGTGTGTGTGTGAGAGAGAGAGAGAGAGAGAGAGAGAGAGAGAGATATGCGTTGGCTGGTGAGATGGTTCAGTGGGTAAAGGCACTTGCTAATAAACCCAACAACCTGAATTACATCCTTTGGATTCACATGGTGGAAGGAGAGAACTGATTTCCATGAATTGTCCCCTGACCTCCACATGTGCACCATGACACGTATACACATGCATGCACACACAGAGAGAAATAAACGAATGTAATAATTTTTTCAAAGTATTGAAATATGTTTGAGTATTGAGACTGCGTTGTGTATCTCACTGTGCTCTAACCTCCCTCTGTATGCTACCTCATTACATCCTGACAATAGCTTTCTGGTACGTGCTCCAGATACTGTCTCCTAAAGACCAGGAAACAAAGGGTAGTGGGGCTCAATAACAAGGCCTTGGACCTGCAGCTAGGATGTAGTCATACTGGGATTTGGGCTTCACCCACACTGTTAACCACCACCATCGTATGCATATCATGCCTCCCATATAAATCATCATGAACATTTGTCATTGGCTACGATTTCTTGGTAATCACTTATACAAAGAGTCAATTTAGTCCTTTGTTTTTATGAATCTTTAAAAATAATAAACAATGTAGTTAACAAAGTTGGCCTCATATTTTATGATACAGATATTTAATTAAATATTCCTATTTTAAATATTTTGCTTTTTTTTTCATTTGCTTGTTTTGTATTTGGAACCAGCCAAGATTTTTAGGTGTCAAGCATGCTATTCTAAGCCAAGAAAATGTATTTAAGTTCTAGGAACTCTCATCTTTGGGCTGTGGAGTTAAAACAGGAATGTGGAACGGGGAAGCCTGGACTTAGGAGTTAAGTTATCTAGGCCAGCAGGGGGCAGCAGAGAGAAACTGCCACTAGATTCCTCCAAGTCCCCTGGGCTTTGGAAGCACTGGGACAGGCTTGCAAATGCTTAGGCAGGCATAGGAGACTTAATTCAGTGGTGTCTCAATACCCCTGAGGAATGGGTTGGAGGACCCAATAAGAATATCCCAATTTGCAGGTTTGTGTGCAAAGCATGTCAGTGGTGTAGTGTTTCCATGTAACCTAAGCACTTGTATACTTTAGGTCTTCTCTAAATTATGTACACCACCTAGTGCAATGTAAAATGTTGTGTAAGGAGTGGGCATACTGCATTGTTTAGGGAATAAAGACCAGAAAATGTGTGTGTATGAGGCATTTTCCCTTAATATAGTCATTGTTCTTTGAATCTGTCAATTTGGCCCCTGAGGATGCAGAGGAACCAAGTGTATGCATTTATGAGTGTTTTTGTTGGGCAGGAGAACTCCTCCTTTTAACAAACTTTTACTCAGAGCTGACTTACAGATTCAGGCTGCTGGATCCCATCATAGGAACGGGATTCTTTTGAAGCACTTGGTGCTGCTGACCTGTAGATTGACACCACTACATGCTCACCCACACCTGAGCCCTGCTCCCCAAGGGAAGCAGAGTTAGGTGGAAGTATTAGGGGGCTTACACAAGGTCGATGTGAATACCTGTATTTATAATTTATATGCTTAAAAAAAACTCACAGGAACTAGAGAGATGGCTTAGTGGTTAAGAGCACTGGCTGCTCCTGCAGAGGACCCAGGTTCAGTTCCCAGTATCCATATGCCTGCTAGCAACTGTCTGTAATTCCAGTTCCAGAGGATCTGATGCCCTCTTGAGGCCTCCATGGACATTGCATGCATATGGTGCACTTCATGCACATAAAACACTTACATACATAAAATGGAAATAAATTAAAAATTTTAAAAAGCTTTTAGTTAGGCCTAGTGATGCAGGCCTATACTATAATCCTAGGTACTTTGGAGGCTGAGGCAGTTGTATTGCAAATTCAGTGTCTGCCTGGGGAAGTTAGCAAGACCCTGTCTCAAAATAAGAAGTAGGAAAGAGGCTGAGAATATTGGACCATAGCTCAGTGGCAGAGTGCATTTATAGGGTCCAAGATTCAATCCTAGTACTAAAAATAGCATATATGCTAAAAATTTGCTGTTCAAGGAGACTTATTTTAAAAGAGGCCAATTCCAAGCTGCCTCCTTCCATGTCCCTGTGGGAATATGCTGACTTTGAAATGAATTAGTCTCAGGTCTGTTTTATAAAGGCATTTTGGGTCTGCTGAGTCCTTGGCAGCTGGGTGTGATAGAGCCTTGGGTATATGCATACCTGACTGAATCATCCCAAGGACATACCAGCCACTGTGTAACTGTCTGTGCTATTTGGTATCTGTAAAGCAGAGGTGTTGTTTCTCAGGGTTTCCATGAGAGTTAAATGCACCACTGTGTGGGGGTGGTTCTTGGACGACCTACATGGCCCCTCTGGGTTGAACCTACAGAAGGTGCATCTGGAATCTTTGTTCAGTTAAACTGACGCAATGTGACCCAGACCTGCCCTTGAACACATCCGTTGTTGAGGACAGCTTTAAATGAATTGGAAGGTAGGGGAGTGAGAGGAAAAAAAGATCCTCATGATGGAAAACTGACTAGACAGGGATCTGTCATTGCTGTCCGGGGAACATTGCAGTGGTGTGCCATGGATGCCATGCTTACCCATGCATAGCCTTTAAGTTTCTGTGTGCACATCTCCACTTTTAAAGGAAAGCAAGAGACTGCTCTGGTGCTGGATGTGCAGCTTACTGAAAGGCCCTGAATGGTACACCTAAAAAAGTGTGCATTTTTATGGCATGGAGATGCTATCTCAAGGAAAATGTTTGAAAAGTAGAAATGTTTCTCTGAGAAAATGTTTCTCTGTCCATGGAAAATTGACCAACTTGCTTTTCAAATGCATTAGAAAGTCACATTAGCGAGCACAGATTACCATTCTTTGTTTTTAGTTTTTCAGGTTTTCTAATTTTATTTATTTATTTATTTTATGTGTATGTGTGTATTGCCTGCATGTAGGTAAGTGCACCCGTGTGGTACAATGCCTGCGAAGGTCAGAAGAGGCTGTCAGATCCCCTGGGACTGGAGTTACAAACACTTGTTAGCTGCCATGTGCGTGCTGGGTTTCGAACCTGGGTCTTCTGCAAGAACAACCAGTGTTCTTAACTGCTGAGCCATCTCTCCAGCCCTGTTTTTTAGGTTTTCTAAAACAACTTACTTTTTTGAGAATTTCATATATGAGTATTGTGTTAGCATCATTTCTGCCCCTTCTGCTCCTCCCCCAGCTGCTTCCATGCCCCCCACTCCCTCTTAATTTCTTGACCACTTCTTTATTGTTCTTACATATACATACATACATTTATAACTATGTGCATATAATGCACTGAGTCTATTCAGTGAGGCTCATCACATGTGCATGTGTTTATTTCTTACTGATTCTAAATATTCTTATATTCGTGTATAAGCATACTTCTCACCACTTAACAAAGAACCTTCTTTTTGCAACAGGTAGAGACTATTCCAAAGTTCCACACCTGGTCAAAATATAGACAATAAGGGCCTGTGTGGTGCTTAGCCTTAGTTGATATGTCTATAATCCAACTCCTTACACCTAACTCAGGGAACATGGTGGAAGAGGAGGTGGAAAGATTCTGAGAGCCAGAAAAACAGGACACCTGCTGTAGATAATGCATTCCAGACATGATAGGGAAGCTGCACCAATACAATCTTAACAGTATGGCGGTCTTACAAGACCTGCATAATGGCGACATTAGTTGACATAGCAATGTGGATGTGGGAAATTTCACAGGGTCCCACCCCTAGAGGAAGAGCTACAGGCAATCAGTGGATGCCTAGGGAGGGAGAATCAGTGTTCTCCAGGGATGAGCTCCCTGAGAGGTTATCCAATCCCAAGTGGTCATCCCTGAACAGATTGCCTCTTTTTTCTTGCAGTCCTGCCTCCCCGGCTATTATCGTGTGGATGGAATACTCTTTGGAGGAATCTGTCAGCCCTGTGAATGCCACGGCCATGCGTCAGAGTGTGACATTCATGGAGTTTGCTCTGTGAGTTTATTGCTGAAACCTTGTGTCTCCCACCCCCACTCCAACCAACCCAGAGCCATTTGTTGTGGACACAGCTCTCCACAACAGCTCTGACTTTGTAGACTTCAAAAGAAATTTGCAAATTCAGGGTTATGTCTTCAAATATTTCTTGCTTTTCCTTTAACTTTTTTGGGAGGGAAAGAAATTATTTTAGGATTACAAGGTGAACATTCTTAATCTGAAAATCCCAAATCTGAAACCTGTTGAGCAATAACTTGATGTTACAAAGGAGAAATTCCACACCTGTTCTTTTGTGAATAATCAGAGTCAAAACACATGCATTGTATAACTATGTGTAACGTGTGTAAGGCATACATGAAATATAAATTGATTTCATGTTTATAATTAAGTCCCATTCTTAAGATACTACTAAACATATACATATGTGCATTTGCATATATACATCTGAAAATATACCAACCCCTCCAAATTTCCTAATCCAAAGTAATTATTTACTTAGCAAATCAATAAAGCAACATAAAAAAAGTTGTTCACTGATTGAATACAAAAGATCCAATCTTTTCAACAAAAATACTAATTTTCTAACATTATACAACCTAATAAACTATAAGTAGAATAGTAAAACACAATAAAATCCCATTGTACAATATATGATATCTTACAGCTGGTTCAGCTGAACTCTTCAAACAGGAGCCTCTTTCATAAACAATATGAGTTGGAGCAGGGCTTTACAAATGTGCAGTTAATCTTGAGCCTGAACTTTGGGGCAAGGCTTGTTTTAGCTTCAGGAATTCTTGTAGGCCCTTCTGCCTTGAAGCCAGGCCACCCTCTGGGTTCTGATGGATTCATTGTTTGGGCATAGAGTGAATGCTAATACCATTCAGCTGTGCCCTATTCTCCAGGCAGAGATACCTCTTTGCTCTTTCCCAAAAGATTGACGTAGTTACAGAGCCAGGGGAAACTAATTATCAGAGCCCTGGTGAAGCCCTGAAGTCCTGAGTCCCCAGGTTGTCTCTTCTCTCTTTGTTTTCTGAGCAAAGCTTCATCCCTGCTCATTTCTCTGGGATGTTAAAGCAACTATAGCAACCTCGTGGAGTGGAGTGTGCTGGGTGGCTCGGTCCCTCCAGGATGGGTTTCCTTCAGAGCATGGTTCCAGCAGCTTGGAGTGTTGTTACTGTTTTCACTTTCCTTCCTTGGCCACATCTGCAAGGCCAGCCTCTTGCACCTTGCCTCCTGCCGGCAAGTCTGGGTGGCCAGCAAGTTGACGGTGTGCTGGTCAGGCTTCTATCGATGTCTATTTACAGAACTATGAACCAAAGATATGAAATGTGTACAAGCTACCTTCATAGTCTCTACTGAATATATTAAATAGATACTAGATAAACTCATGCTAAATGAATAGTATATACTTGGTATGTCTAAATAGTAGCTACTCAAAGCTCCAGCTATCATACATAAGTTTTGGGGTTTTAAATGTTATAGAAACTGGTTTAGACTTTGAGGAAAGCCACAGCATGCTACAGAGTCCCTGGAGCTTTGCCAGCACCCCCAATGTCTCTCATAGCTGTAATGTTCATGCTGGTACCATGTGAGTCACTTAACCATGTGTTCTGCCCATCAAAGTTCCCACTCCAGTCCTTTGTCCTCTTTAGGATTAAACCTAAGAGTCCCCTGGCATATCACAACCTTGTGTCCTTTACTTCCTCTCCTCTGGGATAGTTTTCATTCTTGAGTTTTGTGACACTTTCTGACACTTTCAAAGAATGCCGGACACTGTGGAGTCCTCTCATCTGGGGCTTATCTGACCTGATGTTTCCCCATGATATCCTTGGGCTGTGCATTGTAGGGTGGGGCGGGGTGCCCCGACCTGCAGAGCAACAGCGTGGGGCACCGAGACTGAACCTGGAGGAATGAATAGACAGGGGGCACGAAGAAATGGAGACAAGACAGTATTCTGATCAAGTCTCTTTTATTGAGCAATCACACAGTGTTAATATAGTAAAGCGGAGGGTGGGGGAAGGTAAAGGGCGGAGAGAAGGCGGGGCGAGTGGAAGGCGGCAAGGCCCTGCTGGGGAATTTCTACTACAGTCATGAGCCCTGGTGGTTTCACAAGATAAGGAAGTAAAATGTAGAAAAAAATCAGGACAAGAAAAACATGTTTTTACAAGGCCACCTGGTTGTTTCAAACTGGGGCAGGGGTACACTTAAGGCTTGGCCTCCAACATCTCCTCCCTTCTACTTTAATAAAGGTAGTCCAAACTCCTCCCATGAGAGGCTATAGTTCTCACAGTTTTTGCTCTTGGTACCTTTGGGGAGGTGAGGCAGAGCAGTGAGGGACCTTTGGGTCCCTGCCCGGGTGACTGCGCCTGTCTTAGGTCGGAAGGGATCTCCCCCAAATCATACACCCATCATGGGATGAGGCCACAGCTTTGGCGGCCCTCCTGTCTTAGGTGTTTTAGTGTGGGGGCCACTTCTCTTACCCATCTCTGGCTGCCAGTCAAGCTCGGCGGGAAAAAGTGAATGTACCAACCCCATGCTAGTCTGGTTATATATGTTAGGTAGTTATGTTATAAGTCCGAGGTTAAGGTACCAGGAGACCTCAAGGGTCTGTCATATTCAGTTTCCAGGGCCTCAGTCATCTCTAAGCGTTGATAGTGGATTTGAATGGGCTTAGATAAAATTGAATCAACCTGTTGTTTGATAAATTTTGTGATCCTATTGAATGCCCAGGGCCCAAGGGAAATTACTATCAGAAGGCCAAGGAGGGGGCCAAGGAGGGGAAGGAGGTAGGGCATGAGTCCGCCAAGTCCGGTCCAGAAGGGATTGTCTTGTAGTTCTCGAAGTCACTTTTCTAATTGTTCTTGGAGATTTTTGATCTTATCTCAAACTATGCCGGATTTGTTGGCGTAGAAACAGCACTTCTCCTGTAAAAACAAGCAGATGCCTCCCTTTTCAGCAGTTAACAAGTCTAGACCTCTTCTGTTTTGAAGGACTACCTCAGCCAGGCTATCAAGTTGTGTCTGGATCTCTACTATGGTTTCTGAGAGAAGTTGAACATCATCAATCAATTGTTGGGAGAGTTTATAGTAGGTGTGGGTGGCCACCCCCAAGCCTGCAGTTCCAGTAGCCAGCCCGGCGGTTACACCGAGTGTTATCATTAAGGGAATCATTTGGA